TTATATGTTGCTGACGATTTGTTATCCTATCTGAATGTATGATTTATTTGCCACAGGAAGAGAACTTTATGAGTTTCCTAGTGTCAATTATGTGTTTAAGTATTTTATTACTTTTTTTTAAGGTAGATGGCTTTATCTTGCTGTCTTACTTGGTGCGTTTAAAGAGGGTGTGAGTGACCGACCTGGCCTCTTCCTTTTGGGAGAGGATCTGAGGGACTGAGGCTAGCACAGGGTTTGTGCCCTGAGCGGATGAGAAAAAAATTCAGCGTAGACCTGCGGTCTCATGTGGGCGCTGCCATCAGCAGGACGTCCTTCCTCTGGTCACATCGTGGTAGGGTAGGACTCGGCTTTGGTCCGTGTAACTCCGTGTCTGGTAACCCTAATAACATCGCTCTGTCTTCCACTTCGTGGGCTTGGCTGCTGGACTGGAGGAAATTGTTCTTTCCCAAAAGTATGCAAGCCCAGGCAGTAAAGAGCACCAAATCCAGCTTGGGCACCTGCATGCAGTAACAATATCTGTTTTTGTTGTTGTGGGTTGGGGGTTTTTGTTTGGTTTTGTTGTTTTTATTTTTTTTTAAAAAAAGGCTGTTGTATGGAGAACAGTTGTGGGTGTTTTATAGGAAAAACAGGTGCCTTTAAACTTCAGTTTTGTTCACAGTGACTTAGACATTGTTTTAAAAAATAGCAAACCCCCTCACCTGTTTGGCTGTGCACAGAACCCCCACATTTTTCCAACCTATCTCAGGAAATAAGATTCAGTAGGCCAATGTGTTGCTAATTAAATTAATGATGCAAACTCTCTGCAGATGTCATTCAAAATAAATGAGGAACAAATGTCATCGTCTTAACAGGATTTTTTTTCAAAGGACTTTTTTCCCAAAGTCTTTTCAAAATAATTGGGGTTTCCAATGTAAGCTTCCACTCTAACATTTTGAAATAAGTATTTGAAGTAATGCTTTTGTATGTGGGGAAGTAAACTGGTTTGTCTTGTGTTCATTTGGAAGAATTGAGAGGTGTAGGTCTGGTGACTGTAGCTGCAGTAACTTAGCAAATTAAGCACAGTGAAGGAGGAACTGTGGAGGATGCGGAAGCTTTTGTTGATCCTTATGTAGAATTTTACCTGTTTGAAACCTGGCAAGATTGTATGTGAGTGGTGATGAATAACTCTTTCTACTTCTAATAATACTATGACTATAAAATTCCCAGTTCTGTTTTTTTTCCTGTAAATTTTTTAATTCTGTTTGAATGCCTAAATGAAGACGTGTAAAAACAGGGCAGAATGAACCAGCTTTACGTCATCTTCTTGTTTTCCACGTACTTAGGCATTTTTGCTGATCATGTCTAGCTGCTTTCAGCCAAAACCTATAGGTCCGCCAAACCATAACACATGTATCATGTAAACTGTTAAAAACATCTTTAATATGCAAGGGGGAAGATGGTTCTAATCTTTGGTAATACTGGGATTCCTCTGTTCTGCTGTAATTATCAGAGGAAAACCATGTGCAAGAGTAGTTAATCCTTTTACCAGCCCACAAAAGCCCTTTGGATGTTCTCCCAAGGTAATAGGGTATAGTCCCAGCCGGTCATGGGATCCAACGCAGCTATTTAAATCAGAAGGCAGATTGTGCCGCGTTACCTCGGAGGCAGTTTGGCATCGGAGGCTCGGGTCTGTTAGCCTGCACCTCTGGAAAAGTAAGTTTCTTATCTGCCAGATTGTCTGACCTTAACATCATTCTCATCTCTTTTTATGTAGTGGTTTTGGTTATTTTTATACTGACCAACAGTAAACTTTCTCTAATTTTAAATATTTTTTGTTTGGAAAGTATTGACACTGTTTGCCTAAAAGTCTGAGTTTAGTTTGTGTCTTAAAGTTAGTATCTAAAACGTTCGGGTATTTGCAAGAGTTTAGCAGTACTGAACACTAAAATGATTCAAGGATGAAAGAATCTCCCTCAGAATAATGGTACTCGCTTCCTTTCGCCTGTTCTCTTATAGGGATATGTGCTTTCTGATGTTCAATAGTAAATGAAATTTGTGCTTTCATAGATATTTAGTAAGTAATAACTTAGAGGTTAAAATAGTTCTGTTCTTTATATGTTTGTATATAAATATTAATTATTAAATCACTAAAAGGGGACACAGTTGGCTGTGGAAGCAGAATTCTATATTGCAATTTTTCTTTTTTGCCTAATGCAAGAGACAGTGACAACTTCTAGTTACTAAAACTTGGCCACTGTAAGTAACTGTACAGAACAGAAATGATTTGATTTTTGTCATTGAATTTTTTAACTGCATAACAACAAACTACTAGTTCTTTAAAACCAGGCTTCAGAACAAATAAGACAAAAGTGTAGTTGTGTATATTGGGCAATAAAAGTAGATTCATGCACTTGAACATAAAATTCTTTGGACTAAAAATTGGCAAGCATCCCAGTCTTTATAGTTACAGGGAGACTGGACAGGGGAAAAAACAACCCATGAGCAACAATGAAGGGGAAAAGTGTATGATAGGAAACTGTTAATTAAGATGACATTTGATTACCTGCCATAAAAATCCAATAACTTACTGTATGAGATTTGCCAGAAAACTGAAAGTATGCCTACGTGGCGTGCTCAGGAACTATGTAGATCAAATAACATGCTGATTTTTGGTTCAAAACGTCATTCCAGCAGTGACAGCTTTCTGTATCTGATTGCCTGGAGTTAAGCTACTGTTTTTAGTGTATCTGCAGTTCTGTGGCTGGTAGTATTCGTTTCAGAGCTTAAATTTAAGTAACAAAGCTTGAAAAATGTTAACCATATTGAAAGAAAAGGTGAAATGCATGCTGCAATTTAAAGTCCACAGGTGAAGAATTGTTTCATTTCTGAGCACCTGGAGTGGAAACCCACTTTCTTACTAGGTCCGAGTAAGTTTTTTGGACAACTTCGATGGACCTTGTATTAATTTATACTTGAATGTAATCTAGTGATACTGTGAAAAGAAATCATGTGGCAGTGAATCATCTGAAATGAGGTTGGAGTTCATATCTGGTCTGAACTCTGGTATTATTTCTTGATGTATTCAATTAATTCATATGATAACAAGTATAGCGGGTGCCCCATCCCTCTCAATATCTAATTTGGAAAAAATATTATGCAAAACAGAAATAGGTTAGGTAGGAAATTAGTAGCTTTGGTTTCTGTAGCATATGTGAGATTTCTGAATCCAGGGTAATAGGTTAGTGATTTTTTGGCCTTGAGAAATTAGGGTGGCAATGCATGATATATACGCATGATGTACATGTGTTGAATATGCCAGCACTGGGTTAAACTGATGGTTTGTTGTTAATGTGAAGAGTGTGTGTGTGTTAATTGTGGTTAAAATAAACAGAAACTTAGAGAAGAGTGAAAGTAACCAAAGCTTCATGCTACTCTACTTCATAGTTGTTTTTCTTTCCAGTGAGGATATAGTCCAAAACCAAGTGCTGGTATCTTGATACAAGAGTTGGAGATTTAATTTTCTCAAAATCATTAATTTAGGACTGAGGTCTTAAAAGCTCTGCTTGATTTCGAGAGTCCTAGAAGAAGCAGTGGAAGTGTTTGAGTTTGCTTAGACAACACAGTCGTGGTAGTATAAACCTGTCCCTTCAGCCCTACCTGTTTGTTGAGTTTTCTGGTTTGTTTTTATAGAGGCATGGTCTACATGGCACTTCAAGATTCTTTGTAGTCCTGTGGTTTACCAGTTCACATACCGATTATCATACCATATTGTGGTATCTTAGGCATGTATTTTAGATAAATTCAGAAGTACAAGAAAAAAATGTCATTACTTGGTCTAAGAACTTAATTGCTTCAACTTCTGTTTTCAGGAAAAAAGTAGTTTGAGTTTCCTTATGTTATTTTTAGTTAGTATTTTGTTGTGTGAGATCTAAGCCACATGAAGGTAGTGATGCTGAACAATTAACATACAAATAAATTAGCAATTATCATTAGCGAAATCCATAATTGGCTTCACCCACTTTGTCAGGTATTTCCAGCTTTTAATTAATGCTTTGCATGTTGAAACAGGGCATGTCCTTTATATTTGGGGTTGGGATTTTTTTTCTGTTTCAGTTGTTAACAAACAATGCCATGCTTTTTACTTAAGGAGAACTTAAACTAAATAACTTTATCTAGAAATTAAACCCTTTTTACTGTGACTGTGGGCTTGGTATCTTTGCTGTTTGAAGTGTGTGAAGGGGAGTAGGCAAACACTAGCAAATATTGTGCTCACTTCTGAGCATGTCATGTATTTGCTTCTGTCTAAATGCGTATCATACTTTTTTGCCTCTTAAAGGTGTTGGTTTTGAAAATGATCCACAAATATTTTAATATACAGATCTACAGTTTCTAAAGTACTTCATTAAAGTTTGAGTATTCTATTTGCTAGATATTTAAATAACTTAATGCAAGCAAATTTTTAGAGGAATCTTATTTTTTAAGGAAATAGTTATTTTTGTGCATGAGAATTGTGGTATCTATTTTCTGTTCTACCCGCTCTTGTACCACTTCTTGCCCCCAAAGACTTCAAATCACTTTAAAATCTTTTCTCTTTAAACTGCAAATAAATTTTCAGCATCAGATTTTAGGTTTTTGAAAAGCACCCACAACATAAATTTTGTGCGTAATGGAAGAATTTTACATTAGTGTCATCCTGTCTGCATGGTATCTGTAGCTTTTAAAGAAGGAATTTTAAATTAATTCTAATTAAATAACACTATGGAATGGCATTTACAAAGGGATATGCTAAATGATACATAAGGGAGATGCTAAATATAACTACTAAGTAGTAGCATTTGTTTGAAACTACAGTTTTAAATTAGAGCAACAAGAACACCAGTTTTCATTTGTGTGCTCTGAAATGTAAATTGGTCAAATTATGAGCTCTGCTTATTTGAAATTGTTAGGTCCTAATGTTGTTTTTGTTTTGTTTTCTGTTTTTTCTTTCCCTTCTGCATTCCCCTTCCATCCCCTCTCCAGCTAAATGGCCTTAAAATGGCAGACGAGCCTATGGAAGAAGGTGAACCATATTCCTACCACGTAAGTATATTTGATAGATGGTCGATTTAGACATTCATTAGCATGATTTCCTTTTGAAGCAAAATTTATGCATTCCCTGCTCTGTAATAACTTTTGAACCTATCGTTTTGTTTGACCAGATCTGAAGAGGCTGTAAGTCTCAAAGACAATTTTGAAAATTAGTACCTGGGTAGGGGCTGTGCCTTGTTTGGGAAAGTTTGCCACGTGAGGCAGTGCTGTATGGAAAACAAATTCTGTGTGCTGGAGAGAGCATTTACAGAGCCCTCAACCTCAGAAAATGCTCAGTCCAACCTTGAACCTTTTATACGCAGAGTGCTTAATGTTGCTTTTATTACACTGTCATCTGTTCTTCCTTTGTATTTTTTAATGTAGTTGCTGTACGTTCATCTAGAAGGTACTTAAATCCTGCTATTTTAGAACAGAATTAATTTTTACACCAGTATGTTAATTTGACTTTTATGTAGATGTATCCCAGATAAACCCTGTTGAGCATGACTTTTGTCCAGTGCCATGGTGATGTGCTTATTTAGGAGATGCTGAAGGTCAGCGTTGTGTATGCTGGCTAAATTTTGGACTAAACTTCAGGCTGATTCTCTTATGTGGTGAAATGCCTGACTTTGCATGGCAAAATCGACCATCACTTTTCAACACACCCATCCATATATTTTTGAACAGGATCACGGAAGGAAGGTATCAAGTAGGTCTTACTGCCAGCTGTAACCACTGCTTTGCATATTGCAATAATGACTTTTAGTGATTTGGAGAATAAACTCTTGGGGGTAGAAATGTGGTGCTTGGATGCTTCCTGGTGTGGAGCAAGTAAATAAAGAGTCAGTGTCAGGGTCATCTTACACGTAGCAAGGAAAGATGTGCAATGGGTTGTCTCAATCTTTCACTGTACTTGAACCAGAAGGATGTTGCTGAGCTCGTTTGTTAGGTGCTTGGAGCTACATACCAGTCAAGCTGTAACAAAGCAAGATGGCACAAAGCCATAACTGATGGCAGCATTTCTTTCTGTGCTTTGTCTTCTGTTGAACCTGCTGGGAATAGTTACCTCTTGCACAAGGCAACTTGGTGGGAGCTGGTACCTGAGTCTTGAAATAGATTTGCTGCTCGAGCAGCAGAGCACAAAAATCAGATAACCAAATTTGCAGTTTGTGGAGGCCAAACTAGAAATGAAAATCAAACTGGCTTATATATCTGTTCAACTCTTTACCTGCTCATTTCTTGTTGGTGGTCTTTTTATACTTCAGTATGCCAATTTTTAGTACTTTAATGGTAGTTTAGTAGGTGAAATTATATAGACATCTTTTATGAAAGTAAACACTTTATAAAAAAAAAAAACCTCATTTCCTACATCTCAAGTTATTCTTTATTTGCATGGAGACGTTTGCAAATGGAAAACATTTTTCCTCTCAGTTCACACTTAGAAATACTCTGTCAGTCTCCGCAGCAACCACCTGTGATGTCACAGGCTAATGACTCAAGGTGGGTTATAAACAGAAGAGCACATGAACTTGTAAAGATCTTTTCTCATGCAAAGGTTCACAGTGTTAAGGAACACAAATTAGGATGTTCAAGAAAAAAGGCTTCTAAATAGAGTATTTACATATTTCATAGAAAGAACTGGCCATTAAGTCTGTTGTACAATTTGGTGTGTAACTGGAGGAATCACTACTTTGATCTGTCGTCAGATGACTTGAAATGCTAGTGTTCTTCCCTGCCTTAAATTCCAGGTTTGTGTTTAAAAAATAACTAAAAAAGTGAAGAAATGTGCGCATCTTTCATACAAACATGTGTATGCATAGTCATCAAGATGGATGGATGAAGTGAAGTTGGGATGTATACGCTGTATCATCAGTTTATGTCAGCTGGGTTTTTTGTGAACAAAGGGAAATAAAGTAGCTTAGAGTGTGAATTAAATAATTAACTTTGTATCCAGCAATGCCTTGTGTTAATACCTACTTTTGCAAGGGAAGCGGGTGGAACAAACAGGCCTTTTCCAGAAAGAGTATGAAGCAAGAGATGTAGGAGAAGGGAAAGGACTTGTGCAACAGCAGCTGGACTACAGTTTGTGAACATGCTGAGATGTTAGTTTGAATTCTTTCTGTCCCCTTCTGGTCAAACAAAGCAATTAAGGCATAGACAGTTAATGCACTGTGGTGGTTGCCTCCCCTTTTATTTTTTTCATTATTGCAGTAAGTACATACACATTTAGATGATCAGATTTCTACCCTGAATTTCTGTGTAACCACACAGAGAATTTTGTCTAGATACTTATAATCAGTGTTATCAGACTTGATACAGAAGTTTTAATGCATGGTCTTAGGTAGCAAGACTTTCTGTAGTCAGCCTGACTATAGAATGATGTTCTTTCCTAAAACCAACTCTTTTGTCAAGTGATCGGGTCTTTTTCTGGTGGTGTTCATACCTATGATTGAGGGAGAGCAATGCACTGTAGGTTGGTAAGGTGTTTTTCTGCACTCTGCTAAGAGAAGCTTTCAAGATGAAGACCTAAAGGGGGGATAGGAGGACAGTTAATAATCATTTGGATACACTAAAAGCAAAACACTGCAAATCAGATCAGATTTGCTGTTGTGGTTGGGTTGTATTTGCTGTGTACAAGAAATTAATTGGTATTTTTGATAGGGCTTGAGGGTTGCTGCTCCTTTTCTACGTGCAAGCTGAAGTTGCTGTTGTAGCCCTAGCACGTAGTTGGTAGTTTCAAGGGTGCTTATTTTGTCACCTCACTCGTTTTGGCTCACAGAAACTTCTCTTACACCATAAAAGCTGCAATACTTAATCTGATTTGTTTTCATCTTGGATGTTTGTCTTTTCACAATAGTAGCTGCTGGGCCCTGCTTTAGGTAAAGATGAGAGTAACAGGAAAAAGTCAACAGAACACTAAATCTTTTACCTACCTCAGAATTACCGTGGCTTTCTTGAAGGAGATCTCCACGCAGGATGGTCTTTCCATGAGCTCTGTGCCCCAGAGCTGTGTTTCCTTTGTTGGATGCAGGAATTGGCAGAGTTCTTAAGATGACTCATACCTTATTTATGCTCTTCAAATGATGCATATTCCTTTAGCTACAACCGGATGACCATATTTATTATTTGCTGCTGTGAAAAGCAATAATTACCTAAAATGATGCAATTCAATTTAGCTTTCATTAAGACTATTTCAGGAAAAGGAAAGATGAGAAGAGTAATCCCTGGGAGAACTAAAGGCTGCTAAAACAGAAGTGAAGCACAGAAGGATCGTCTCGGCCTTGGTTTAAAAAAATCTATGTATTCCTTTCATGGTAGAAAATCCATCTTTGCTGTAGTTGTAATAGTTGTGACAAAAGGGAATGAACATTCTTTGAGAATGTTACTTTAATTGAGAAATTTTAGATGCATTTATTTAAGAAAGGATGGATGGGAAAACTCTTCATTTGAACATCTTTCTTCTATGCCTTATTAGAATTCCAAATATTTTATTAAAAAAAAGAGCAGGCATTTACATGCACTTCTAATAAAAGTTGCTTAATTCAGATCTGTTCATTGTTGTATTTTTGTTTGCTATGAAATAATAGGATGAAGGAAGTGTGAAAGAAATTCCTATTACACACCATGTGAAAGAAGGATGTGAGAAAGCGGATCCAGCACAGTTTGAACTACTTAAGGTTCTTGGACAGGGGTCATTTGGAAAGGTAAGAGAACAAACTTTGCCTTCATCCGATGTCCACTTTGAACCTGCTTTGTCATAATAATGTTTTACTTCCCTTATTTCTATAATACTACAAGGTTAGGTATAAACCTAACAAATCTGAGTAGAGGTAGATATGCGTGTGGAAATTGCCCTGTTTTGGAGGAAGTTATCCATCCTGTTTTGCAGTTGGTTAGTGTGGGGTTTGGGTTTACTATGATAGCCTTTCTGACTTTGCGTTTTTTAGAGGAAAAGTAATGTCTTTCACCATAGATCTGTCCAAAAAGTCAGCCTGGGAGGGGGGTTAGCTCAAATACATTTTTGGGTAAGAAAGGCAATGCTGTAGCAGAGTTGCTGGGAATGTTTGAAAAGTTATTGACAAATTTCATCTTTTTCTAATCTCGATCTGGTGTCAAGGGAGCACTGTTTATAGCAGGACACCATATCATATCAGAGAGGGAACAGCCTAGGTCCCTAGGAAGAAGGGTCAGTCAGTAGCAAATTTTAGGTGGTCTGCAGTGGAAAGTTACGGTTTGCTTTAACTTGAGGGACACGTTTGTGATTCATCTGGACTGGCATCTGCAGCTTCCTGGGAACAATGGCACCAAGAGCAAGGGATTTTACCAGTTGGGTTGTAGCGTTAGGGGTGGGTTTTGTGTAACAGCTCTGGTGTTGTCCAGCTCTTTCAACTGCCTTAGGCTTGATTGCAGCATCTAGTGAGGAATCAGAACAAACAGTATCTGTGTTCTATATAGGCTGTCTCACATCTTCTGTAGCTTAGGTTGATGCTTGGGGGGCCCCAGCAGTGTAATAGAGATTGATGGACCCTTCTGGAGGAGATCATGATTTATCTTTTAAAGATGGTACTTGACATGCTGTGAATGTTTGGCTTTTTTCAATATATGAAATCTGTATTGATGTAGATACAGAAGAATGATTGTGGTAGCTTGGAACTTGAACCAAAGTAACAATAAAGCAAATAACCTGGGAAATGTATTTTGAATTTTTTATTTTGCTGTATTTGTCCAGTGATCTACAGCTAAAAGACACTAAGTGAACAATTATTCAAATGGCGAATAGAGAAGTATGGCAATTTTTTTGTTACAGTCATTTCTTTGTAATGTGCCACATTGCAGAAATGAAATTAAAAATCACATGTCACAGTCACTAGTTTGAAACACATTAATTGCAATATTAATCCTAGTGTATAAGATGTTAGTTTATTTTCTTAAAACCTGTCTCTTAAACTGGATCTTTCGCAACACACAAAATAGACAATCAGCTTAACTTGTATGTTTCCATTTTCCTGTTCTTCGGCTGGTTTTGCCTGTCTCATGGCAGGAACAAACCTCTGCATAGAGTTGTATGAGCGGGGGGCAAATTAGACATTAGGAAGGCATTCTGTGAATAAGTGATAGTTTAGAAAATAGACTTTAAAATATTTCTTAATGTTTTATGGCTTAAGAAACATTTCTTTATCTGGTCGTGTTAGTTGCCAATTCCCTCATACGCTTCTTGTCTTCAGAGGCTAAAAGGCTCCGTGCATTTATTACTCCTGACTTGAGATGTCTCAAGCTATCGTAGAATTCAGCACATCTGGTACAGGCATCTTAGCCTGGACTCAGACTGATTCTTACTTCAGGCTTTGGTAGTGTAAGGAGTGCTCTGGCTCAGATAACACCGGCTTGGTGAGATGTCTGTTTAGAGTTTTTGAAACGTGGCGGTACTTGGTTCAGGAACCAGCTTTAAGGATTTAAGGTGACTGTCGCGCATCTGAGCGGAGCTCTTTTTATCTAATATTTGTTGCTTTCTATTGAAAAGAGAAAACAAACAACAAAGATCAATGGCTGTTACCTTCATGGTGTTTGTTTTCTCTCTCCAGTTCATGCTTCGCAAGGGTCTCCCTTTGGCTTTAGCAAACACAAGGTTTGTTTGCTCTGGCCTGGTGTACTACTACAGCCCATCCTCTACCTGGCTTTTTTGACATCTGTGCAGGATTTAACACTGCTTCACAGAAATAAAGGGTTAAACCTCATGTCTGTTACTGAATTTCCTTCTTCAGCCTTTGATAACCTTCTAAGGCTTCAGCACCCCATCTGCTGAAGACAATCTTCGATTCCCTTAGGTGAATCACCTTGTGCAACACGTGCCCATCTTGATTTTGCTTTACAATTGAACAGCTGGAGACTTTGAGTAGTTTTCAGTGGCAGCTATTTTGATCCTTATTAGCTAGAATTTGTAACTTGTACGTAAATTCCTTACGTTCTCACAAGCTGCTAGTTATCAAGCACTAAAATATTTGTACATGCTTACTAATATTTCACTTTTATAATTGTAAGTGTATTAATCTACAGGTGTTTTCTTATTTGCCGATGTTTGAATTAACTCCCTTTACTATTTGACCATCAACATCACATAATAGGAGAGCAGTGCTGTAGGCTGATCATTGGGCTAAACTTAAACAAAACAAAAAGCTCGATAACCTTGAAACATGATGACATTTTTCTTCTAACCAGAGCTTAAAATAAAAACAACCCCTCTCCCTAACTCTGTACAGTCTAGTCAGTGACAGCATATGTATTTCTGGTTCTAGAATGGAAAAGTTGACAAGTTTTTGGGTTTTTTTTAATAATTTCTAAATAGTAATTTCTAACACAGTATATATGTAAATAAATCTTCTGTTAATGAAAATCTGATTAAAGTAAGATCAGAGAGGCAATTTTGAGTAGCTCTTGGCATTCTCTTGAGTTGTACGTTTTATTTCTTTACAGTACAAACATTCCTCATAACTAATAATTGCTGTTATAAGAACAACGACTTGGAAGCAGAGCACATACCAAACAATTTTGTAAATGGAAAGACCTAGTAGTTAGAATATTATTCAGTAGAGGTACATGTATTTGTACTGCATTATTCTATGTAATATTATGCTTTTCTTACTGTCATGTTATATACCATCTATTTTTAAAACTCCTCTGGAAAGATGAGAGTAGAAAAACCTGTTGGAGTTGCTATTCCAGAGGGAAAGGTTGCTTTGATCTTAAATGGTGTGAGGCTTCCTTGCTTTCCTCTCTGCACTCTTGCAGAATTCATTAATATAGCTTCTTGCATATTTGAGACTTGGGTTTTAAACCTTAAAAACCTCTTAGGAGGTCGCAGCCCAGGCAGAACTGTCATTCTCCAGGAAAGCAATATAAAGAAACACGTTTCTGTAAGTACTTATTTGATAAGTACTTTTTTAAACAGCTTGCTATAGGTTACGACCAATCTGAATACTTCAGAGAGCTTGGTGGTGCTTGTACCTCTAATCTGATTAAGGGAATGCAATTTTGCCCTTCCTTTAAAGATATGCACTTAGAAAAGAACACTGAGAGCTGTCTGAAGTTAATAGGAGGTTTATGATAGTTGCTTATTCGATTACTAAGCTTCCTTAGACAGAAAGACTTACTGTGAATATTTGGCATCTTTTCATTCTTCAGAGTTTTTAAGGAATGGGATGGGACTAGGGACATGCTATCTCCTTGTCTGTATTAATGAAGTTAAAAGTAAAGACCTAGTAATGGGTTTTAGTCAGGCTTACGTAAAATATTTTTAGCGCTAATTTAAAATTGGTGTTTATGTTACCAGGTTTTCCTCGTACGGAAAATAATTGGTCCTGATGCTGGACAACTTTATGCAATGAAAGTATTGAAAAAAGCTTCTTTAAAAGGTAAGTTTGGCTTTTGAATTTAGAAAATAGTTTTCAGTGCACCTGGATCTCTTAAATGAGTCTTGTAAATACTTCTTTTTAAAACCTTTTTTTAATCTTAAATATTTTTTCAGTGAGTTCATAACTTTTTTCTCTGACAGTAGCTTTTTTTTCTAGAGTAACTTGTAAGTTCATGTTTAAGAATTATTTTAAATCTGGCCAGATAGCTTTAATTATGTGGTTAAAAAGTACTCTTTCAAAGTTTAAAATTGCATTATTTAATTCTGTTTAGTCATTATATCAAAACAAGATAATTTCATAAACAGTGTTTCCTTTTGTCTTTTGTTAAGTTAGAACTCTACTGTGGTTAAAATTAAAATTAAGCCATTCCCTCTTGTTAGAGGTGCCATAGCCAGCTAACTTACTGGTTTGGCTTTCAGAATTCACTTTAATGGGCGCAACTTCACTGTGTGTAAATAGGGACTCTTACTAGTTAAAGAAGAAAAAGTAATCTTAAAAGACAGAAAATAGATATTCAATACAGATGGCTAATTCAGAGATTGAAGTTAGCCAGGAAATGTAGATGTGAGCTCTTTTTCTTGGAAGTTACATGATTTATCACAAAATATTGGGATGTGTTGGAAAAAATTGAAGACAATAAGGAAGCTGGGGCAGGTAAGAAACAAAAGAGAGTTTTGCTGTCTGAAAGTGTGTGTTTTGGGGGAGACTGAAAAATTAAGAACAAATAAGATAACAACTTATTTCTTCAGACAGCAAAGACTTTCCATATCCTAATTTCTGCTCCATTTGTGTTATACCAAATACATTTGTTTCATACTAGTCTGTTTTTCTTTTTTTTCCTCAGTTCGGGATAGAGTTCGTACAAAAATGGAGAGAGATATATTAGTAGAAGTAAATCATCCATTTATCGTCAAACTGCACTATGGTTGGTATTTTTTTGCTACATTTTCTTTCATTACTTGAAGACATTGCTGATCTTGTTCTTCTCAGTTTTGTGTCCATTTTAGTATCCGATTCAGTTCTAGCAACTTTCAGTCACAGGGCAAAAAAAGAAGTGTTAAATACACATGTATATATAAAAGTTTTAGGTTAAGTCCTCTTGAAATTAAAGATTTGGAGAATTCTTACAAGTTCTGCAGAGATTTTTTACTTTTCATTGAGTAAACCCAAAACTCAAGACTGTCTTCTGTGAAGAAGCAAGTAATCATTCAATAAATTACCTCATGTGCTGTTGAATTATTTCAGTTCCATAACAAAAGTATTGCCTTTCACTGAAATTTCCAAGTTGTAAAAGCATTCAGATCTGTTTTGTAGATCATCTTTGTCACACAACTATTGATACTCTTTTTTATTTTTTTTAAGCCTTTCAGACTGAAGGGAAGCTATATTTAATATTGGATTTTCTCAGGGGAGGAGATGTATTCACGCGATTATCCAAAGAGGTAAGTACCTAAAATTTTATCTCCACTCTGTGTTAGACAAGGGGTTATTTTTGTCAGTACAGAATTGTCTTCTATAATTGTTTCCCCCATATTTTTGTCATGGTCAAATTTTTAATAACTTAGTTGGGTTTCCCTGACATATTCTAGAATATATTCTGTAACCTTAAGAAACATGAGTGTGTATTGATTAGTAGCTGAAATTTTAATTTGCTATCTGCAAAGTACAGTTCTTCTGTCTAAAAATGTTTTGTTGCTTGGAAACCTAACTGGATTAAATTAAGATTTAGCAATAAAGAAAGGGGATGTATAGTTCTTGTGCTCATAGTCAGCTTAGGTGCTCCTGGATGCCTGCATCTATAAGAGGTTTCTGCTGCATTGTAAAATTTCATAGTGCTGTAATACAAATCCTAATGCTTAATCTCACAAAGTGTGAACGTTGAGTATTTTTGAGACCACTCTCCTTCATCTGACATTGGAACTTTAATTTTTCATTTCTGTTTTTGTATTTTTTAAGTATTATGAACATGTTTATAAGACTTTTATTTTCTTTCTGCAAACCTTTCATAAAGATCTAAATTTTTAATGGCAGTTTCTCAACAACTTCACAGTAAGAGAGCTTTTTAGTGTTTTCACCAGTCTAAATACATTTATGTTGCTAATGCATGGGAAAAGCCACTTAAATGAGAAAACTGGGTATCTGGCTGATTTTTCATGACATAAAGGGGGTGCTTGTATTGCTAGTATGTAAGGCCACGAGCTAGATTTTTTTTCCCATATTATTGTAAAAAATAAAGCTTTACTTTAGGAACAGACAAAAGAGAAGGAAGAATTTAAAGATGGTTTTGTTTTCTTTTTTATAAAAAGCTGACTTTGGTAAAACAGTGATTGTATCTAAGAATTGAGCTCAAAATTAATTAACCTTGAGGCTGAAATGGAGGTTAAAAGCTTAAACAGACTGACTTGTAAAGGGTTATTGGAACAGTAGGTAGGAAAGAGGTCAATCTCTGCTTTGATATAGGATGTCTAATTATAGAGGAAATTCTGGTCTAGCAGGAAGAACTATTCTTTTGCACTAACACAGCTGGGATTACTGAGTAGGCAACATTCTTAAATAAGGGATGCAAGTCCATCCATAATAATACTAGCTAGGTGGTTGAAAGAGGTATGTATTCCCTTTGGGAATAAAGAAGTAATAATTGTCAAGTTCTCTTACTGTTAAGTCTCTACATGTTTTTTTGGAAGACTTCAGTTACCTTCTATGATGGCTTTTAAACTCTTACTGTCTCTATGGATAGAAAAAAATCAGACCTTTTTATTTTCTGATGGGAAGACAAAGTGTTTTCAAAAGTATACAAAGTAAAATGTTTGGTAGAACAAAGACAGTGGACAATACACATGAGGGTAAATTCCCCGTGGCATTTCATACTTTCCACACGAGGATTATTTTAAATTAATTGAGTTTAGTATGAGGTTATTAAAACGCCTTTGTTGGTGTTTAAATTCTAATGTGGGTATGAGAGTTTCAACTGTGGAAGTGAAATGAGTATATAATGAAGTTTTCATTGGTAACATTTAATGAAGTTGACTTGCATCATGTTTAATTTGACACAAAGTTTTAAATGAAATTATTATTGGGAGATTGTAGATTACCATTTAGCATGATTGTATTGAGAGATGCATTTTAGCTCCTCCAAGGAGTAATGATATCCAAAGTTTACTCTTTCTCTTTTGGATATAAAAGAAAACTGGTGTCAACATTGGTCTTTAAAAAAAAAAATCAAGGTGAAACTTTGTGTAGCGTAAACAGCTTTATTGCTCATACAATGTTAATGCCTATCATTGTGGAAATTAGGAATATTTCTGTTGCCAGATTACGTATGTACAATTTAAAGTACAGATCAGTGTACTACTAAATCAGTAAGCCCAGTTACCTTAATGTAAGTCTTGTTAGCCATCTGCTGTGCAGTTGAGATGGCTGTTCTCCTTCTTCCTGGTGTCTTCAACAAATAAGGGAATAGTTCCCTTAAACTTCAAATTCAGTTCCCGTAGTTTAAAGATTACTAACTTCCCCAGGAGTTTGTAGAATGTGACAAGAGCCAAAGCAGATATGATTCTGGTATATGAAATTAGAAGCAACCTGTTGAGTGTTTAGGATAAAATACATCTCTCAAATACTTTGTGCAATGTCAGTCAGTTTTTCAGTATCTCACTAGGGTTCTTCAAATTTATTTTCCTAAGAAGAGCAGAGTAGGTTCTTCAGCTCCCACTGTAGACTTCCACGTCATTGTTATTTTCACCACAGTGTTTTATTTTGCACACTTTTTTCCTAAATGTTTTCTACTTTTCTTTTCTAAATGTTGTTAATATAAACTCACAGAGTCAGTCACCCAATACAGGAATCACGTACTAAATTTTATGATGCAGTGGAAAACAGTCTGTATAGGATTGTGGCAGAAGGAGTGCTGGTGGTGAACACCAAATATAACAATTAAATTTATTGCTTTAAGTTAGCTAATGCTTTGCAGTAACTGCTGCTGATGTTTTTATTGGAGTATTGCAGGTAGTTCTTTTGTATGCTTGATGACTAGCCTATATTAGTATATCATTTCTGTTAGGTGAATTCATGAATTATGAGTTCATAAAGTACTCCTAAAATTTATTTTGAAATTTAGGTAGACAGGACTATTTTTTTTTAGATTGCAGTTTTAAAAACTGAAGACAAGATCAGAAGGTAAATCTATACAGTTCTTATTAGGTTATGTTTACAGAGGAAGATGTGAAATTCTACCTCGCAGAACTGGCCCTTGCTTTGGATCACCTTCACAGCTTGGGAATTGTATACAGGGACCTGAAGCCAGAAAAGTAAAGTAAAATGTATTTTACCACTATTACGTGTATTTTACTTGTTGCTTTGCATTTTCCACTATAGTGATGTAAAAAATTAAAAATATTTTTCTTAAACTATGTAAACAAATATAAAATGTTAAAAACACAGCTCTGATGTTTAAATGAAATAATATTGGCTTGTTAAATTAATGATAGAAGTTAGAGATCGAAATTGTTAATCATTGTTTTAAATGTTATATGTAAACATTCCTCTTTATGTGTATTGGTGAATGTGAATTTTAATTTTCAGCATTTTGCTTGATGAAGCAGGACATATCAAGTTAACAGGTAGGTAACACTTATTAGTATAGCACTTTCTGAACATATTGCTGTATAAGCTCTTAGTTATAAGCCTAAAATATGTGTAGTGATGGCTGGAGTGTGTGTAATCCAGTACTTAGCTGTTTAGAAAATTTTTTATTGGGCAGACTTACATAATAAATCTGTATCCCTTCCCTATATAATGATTCTTTGTATAGCATTAAGTACTTTTATCGAAGTATTTTAGACAGCCAAATGTAGTTGAAAACACAAAACCAGAGATTGAATGTGGTTTTTAAAGGAACTTTAGTTCAGGTGGTGGTGTGTTAGTAACTAAAACGATCTGCTATTCAGGTTAGAAAGTGAGCTGTATCAAGATTTACTGTGAAATGCCTTTTAACTGAAGATCAAGAGGTTATAGACCCAGGCTAAGGTTGATGACTGTGAGACTTTTAAAAGGGAACAGAGGTGCTTTTGGTGTAAAAAATTTTAGTGTGCAATAAGACTTCTGAAATATTACTCCTTTTTTTTGTTTGTTTCTGGATTATCGCTTTTAAATGCATATAAAATTGCAGAAAAATGTTCTACGAGGAACAATTAAAAGATACATATTGTGGGAAATTATATATACAAAAGATTGTGACTATTTAAAAATCAAATCACTATAAGTTTCTGAAAGCTTTAAATTACATTTAAGTTGATGCTTACGTATTATGAATTCGTATTATGTATTTTGATCTATAGATATTGCTGTTGGATTCCAAGAGAAAATTAATTTTTTTGAACTCTCAAAGACTTGGTGGAATAATGATGATGGAAATCATGTTTATAAAATGAATCATTTTTAAAATTCTACATGATAATTTCAATTCAATTCAATCCAAAATTCTCACTTCCCTCTGAAACTGGAAAGAATAATTGATGGGATTATTGATTAGCAACCATTTTCCCTTGGGGAAAAAAGGGAACCTTGCGAGCCTTGTCTTGAGAGTTGGGCTAATGTCAAGGACTTCTGTATTCAATGGCATTGTTCAAACTGGGAGGGGGGGAAGTATTCTGGGAATAAAGTCAGCAGATATGCAAGACTCTACTGAACTCGAGTCAGGTTGCAGAACCATGTTGTCTTATGTAACTACAATATTTTTAGTCTGACTTTATTTATTCATCATTCAGTAATACTAGACCATGCAGACTGTGTTCTCTTTAAAACTCATTTTTACTTCTATCCATGTTTTTGTGTTAATAAAGCAGGCAGTAAACAGAGAAAAGCAGAACTTTTATCTTAAGGCTCTAAATGTGTAACGTTTACAATACTGAGTTATTTTGAGTAGTAACATTGATGGCTGATCATCAGTTTAGTATGACTTATGATTTTGGTGGTATGAGTAAACTAAATGCCTGCAGTATCTCTAGATGTCTGCAGTTTCTTGTTTTGTGAAGAGCTAGGATAATCACGTAATATTCCTGAAAACAAACAAACTAAAGTTGTCAACGCTCTGATTTTGAAATGTCATATACAATATTGCTTTTTTTCTTTTTTCCTAAAGTTCTTTACTGGCTATATTCTTGTAATGCTGTTGTTGTAGACTTTGGACTCAGCAAAGAATCAGTAGATCAAGAGAAGAAGGCCTATTCTTTCTGTGGTACTGTAGAATACATGGCACCTGAAGTAGTAAACAGGCGAGGGCACAACCAGAGTGCTGACTGGTGGTCCTTTGGTGTTCTCATGGTACTGTATGCTTCGTTGCTTACCTTGCCTAAGGTCACAAATGCACGGCGTATGTCTAAAGTGAAATGTGAAATAATATAATGTGAAATAATGTGTTTAGAATAAGCTTGTCCAGTTCTAATTATGAATGCTTGGGTAAAGGGAAGAGAGAATTCAATGACTGAATTGCTTCTGAAATAGCAACTAATTTGAATAATATTTTTTTTCTCATCTGTTCAGCCCTATAAGTAGTACTTACAAGGAACCACAAAAATCATATGTGTAGTACATAAGTAGTTTAGAACAGTTGTAGGCACTGTGAAACTTCAGTTTGTGTATTTGTTTCTCATGATACTTGACAGTTAAAGAAAAAAACCTGAAGACTTGGTTTGATGGAATATTGCATTTTTGTAAGAGTAAGCCTGTTGAATGAATACTGAAGTGGAGTAGTGAAATAAGCCATTAACTGCTAGCGCTTGTGCCTTTGCCATGATGTGTTAGAGCATCAGGCTGAAATATGCATGTTGACGTTAAAAGTAAAGTACCGTTTTAGAATTTATTATTCTTGCTTTTTTTCAAGGTATGACAACATCTAGAACTAGGTTATGGAGGGGATTTTATTACTTTAATTAAAGTAGCTTATGGATGCAAAATATTCCTGCATCATCATTACGTTACACTTGCCACTGTTTTTATCATATAAACAAAATTCTAGATTTGTGAACTTTTTTGATAATCTTTTAAAAGCTCAAGTCAGTATGTTTAACGTAGTGATAGGGAAGAGTTCAGTACTTAACAATTTGTTTGAGCAGTTGGAGGAAGAAATGTTGATTTAGATTAACATTTGTTCTTTTCAGTTTGAAATGCTTACTGGTACACTACCATTTCAAGGTAAAGATCGAAATGAAACTATGAATATGATACTGAAGTAAGTATATCTTCTTACTTTTTGCAAAAAGTCAGAAAATGTAATTTTTAAACATGTTTTAACAGCTTGTTATAGCTCGTTGTGCTTGAAGAGCATTAAGGTAGAACAGGAACAAAAAAGCTAAGCCCCCCCACCGAGGTTTAGAACATGGATCATTCAAATACTGTTAAGTATCTGCAGGAATTAAAATCTTAGGCATGAACTTGTATTTTCATTGTAGGTGTATAATAAAGATAAAAACAGTATGGTGAATTAGAACAGCATTATATACCTCTCCTGTGGTTATGCTCTCTTGCTACTGTTACAGCACACCTTATTTTGTAAGCAGTAGTTAATCAGGTGTTGCTTTGTGCACGTATGTATGGAGAGTGCACTTACGTCGTCACATTTTTCGTATTAAATTACCTTGGTTACAACAGAAGCTGTCTAACAGGACAAACTGGGTAAACTGGTGATTAGTAAGTGAAGTTGTTCTTCAACTTCACTTGTTAGGCAAATATGTTCTTGTCTTTATTTGTGCTTAGCTAACAAAGAATTTCCTTTAGACCACATGCAGAGCCTTGGGCCTTTCAAGGGGGTGAGAGAGAAGCTCTCTTCTTAACAACATGGGGCAGTTTGAACTTCCCCCGAGCGTGTTTATGGTGATACTACCTGTGAAAGTGAAGGGATTACATCACTAGCCTCACTTGGGGTTCTAAGTGATACCACAGTTCTGCAGGAGAATTTCTTGCCTTAGCATAATTGTTTTCATAAAATAAGCTTGGTAAATCAGTAAGCTTTTATATAATGGTTTAGTAAACTACTACTTGAGACTCTTGCTTCAAAAGGAATATTAGCAATCACTTCAGGGGTAATACCAGTAATGTGGTATTTGGTGAGTTCTGGCGTTGATTCTGGTAGAGATATTTTGGTGATAACTTACTGGTGACTTGGAGATATCTTTGAAAATGCTTATGTATTCCTGAGAGAATTGGTTTAGTCTGTTTTAGCCTAAAGCTTGTTTTGGCGGCTTGGGTGGGGTTTGGGGGTTTTGGTGTGGTGGGTTTTTGCTTGTTTGGGATTTTTGTTTGGCTTTGAAAACCACTCCTATAATGTGAAATTTAAAAGCTGATGAGTTAAATGTGTACACACTACAAGACTTTGTACTACCTCGTTGATACATAAAATTGTCTACATAGACTTCATTGCACAATTTTTAGTAAGATACATTTCTTCCTCTTGTTCTCTGTTTTCCTTTAGAGCAAAACTTGGAATGCCTCAGTTCCTCAGCCCTGAAGCACAAAGTCTTCTGAGGATGTTGTTCAAAAGGAACCCATCAAATAGATTAGGTTGGTTCATTTATTTAGGTCTTTGAAATAAAAGTGGTTGGGTTGAGAGAAAGTAGTTGCTAGAGACTCTCAAGCTCCAGATGGTCAGTAAGATTTGGATTTAGATAACATTTCTTGTTAGGTTGGGTCATGACTTCCTGGGTTTGGCTAATAAATGATCACTTTCTTGGACTCCAGTGACTCTTAGCAGTGAGCCAAAGCTTTGACAGTGTCAGGGCAAAGAATATTGACTCTGTATTGATGAGCTCCGTGCACTCTGCCTCCCTGTGATGAGGTATACGCTACTTAATTCAGTATTTTTGCATCTTTGGAATATTTCTGCATTTACAATAGATAACATTTCTTGTTAGGTTGGATCATGACTTCCTGGGTTTGGCTAATAAATGATCACTTTCTTGGACTCCAGTGACTCTTAGCAGTGAGCCAAAGCTTTGACAGTGTCAGGGCAAAGAATATTGACTCTGTATTGATGAGCTCCGTGTACTCTGCCTCCCTGTGATGAGGTATACGCTACTTTTTCAGTATTTTTGCATCCTTGGAATATTTCTGTATTTACAATTCCATCAAATAACCATGTCTATACAATTTTTTTAGAAATGAACTAATTTTTAATGCAATCTTCTTCAAAGACTTTACCCAAAAGTGTTTTCAATACAGTATATTCTTTGTTCAGGGGCTGGCTCAGATGGAGTTGAAGAAATCAAGAGACATCCTTTTTTTTCTACTGTCGACTGGAATGTAAGTACAAAATTATCTGAACGATAAAGTCGGTCTTAATTTTTCTGTTTTGTAGCATTATAAGTATTTGCATCTGAATATGGCACAATAAACACCGCAGTACTGCTGACTTATGTTCTCATTTCTACTGTAATCTTACTTGGCATCTGGAGCTACAGTGTTCATGGTTTAGGGAGTATTAATTATAAATTGTGCATTTACTTTTTAAATAATTAAGAGTTGCAGCATTCTAAAGGTTAAATTGTCTGTTAGAGCATTTGTAGTTGGGAGTGGATGCTGGTGTTCCCTGAGTGCAAGAAGCCTTCTCATCAGTAAGTGTCCGTCTAGTGCTTCCGTGCAGGGCACAAAAACTCGCTGTTACTGTAATTCCCTTTGACTTCTCTCTAGTTAGCCACAGCACACTCCTATTTTATCAGTCCTGTTCCGTTCACGGTTGAAGTATTGACTCTGGTGCTCTGAGACGGTCAGAAGTCTGTGCAAGCTCATGATTGCTTGCTTAAATTTTTAACAAGCACCTTGATGTTTTTCCTGTGCAGTTCTCTAAGCTTTTGAGATGTTTCCCAGAAACATTCACAAAACTAAGGTGCTCAATGTCAAATAAATCCACTCTGAAAACACTCCTTTGCTATAATGCCTACAAAAGGACAGACACAGTAAATAAGATGTTGCTGTGCTGACAGGACTGCCTGCGATGCTAGCCAATACTGTGCCCAACTGTTTCTTTAAAGCCTGTTGTCATTATCCTTCCCTTTATCTCTTGTATTTACTTCTGAGAAGGTGGTTTTCTAGCTGTGTTTATGCAGCATCTACCACAGAGTCCTGATTAGCAAGTAGAGTTTTCAGTAGCAGCGAAACTTCACTGTTTTATGAGTACACTTCCTAAGAAGACTGCATTACTATGGCTTGACTATCTACACTTTTTTTTTTGTAAGGGACTGACATAGAAATAAACACCAGCAAGGAACTTTGAAGGATCTGCAGTTCTAACTCTTTATTTTTTCTTTTACTTTTCTAATTTTTTTTTTTATTTGACAGTGCTTTGTATTTATTTCAGTATGGTCGTGTTGATGACCACTTCAGTGTTGTGCATCATTATTGCTTTGGGATGAATTCAGATTGTTCTTCCTTGTTCATGTTTTTTTGTTTTTTTAATTGGAATATGTTGCATGTTCTTGTGCAGGAAGATTAAAGGCAAAGTAGTACAAAATATGGGTCTGAAAGGATGAGAGAAATGCCAAGAAGGTGTTCTCAGAACTTCCTGAACTTTGCATGGGGCTTTGACATCATTTGACATGAAATTTTCTCTTCCTTAACTGTAAATGGGACGTACTGCTGATTCGAGATCACTTGGGCAATGCATTTTTCTAAAGCATATTTTGTAAAGGAGGAAAAAAAGGAGGAGCTGTTGTTCTGCTTTCACTTCCTTCCCCCGACTTAGTTTAATGGATTAGGAAAAACCTGGAATAGAGCTTTGGGAATTGGCAGATCCTTGCTAAGAAGGACGTGTCTGTCACTCCTGAGAGGTCTTTGTCTGGGACTGTATTCCCTGTTTTCCCTTTGGGTGGGGTTTCAGGGTGGTGACAAAATAGCAGTGAACCAGGATGAGATGATGATAGAAGGTAAGATGCACTGCAGCTGTTCCATGTTCTTCTGAATAAACCAAACTAGTGATAAGCGGCAGCCTGCTGTTGTAGCTTGAAAAGTAAAGGTCTGGTAGATGAGGCACATTCAGAAGAATAAGGGAAAAGAGCTGTGTGTTGTTTGACTTGTTTGGTAATATTTGCCGTAGCGTTTCAAGTCAGAGGTGTGTGAAAGTAATTCAGGTTTTCCATATATATGTGTGGGTTTTTCACTTTATGTTACTCGATCTTTCAGAAAACTGTTTTAATACAACAGTAATGTTTGAGTTGCTTTTCCTTCAGCTTGGCAAAATTACAGCACCCATGGCAGTTTCATTCACTCTTAATTACATGACTTTGTCCTTCTACTTCAGAAGCTGTTCAGAAGAGAAATTCAACCTCCATTTAAACCTGCTTCTGGAAAGCCAGAAGATACCTTTTGTTTTGATCCAGAATTCACAGCAAAAACACCAAAAGGTAATTGTGCATGGTTAGAAATTGGTGAGGTTCATGGGACAAGAAGGGTCAAATTAATGTTACAACAAGCAGCTTACTAAGAGAAAAAAAGCCTGTGACAAAAAAAGGAAAGGGTGTAATAGGGTTCCAGTACTTTGAAGGAGTATGTTCTCCTCAGTGGGTTTCTATTTTTTTTTAATATTCTGCTAAACTTTGATTCACCAAAAAAAAAAAAAAGATAACAGCTGAATTATGGTTTCTAGTTATAAAGTCAAGACATGCAGTGTTTGGGGTGGAAGTGTTTAATACTAAAAGTAAACTAAATTTGATTCCGGCAGTGATTGCTTTTAGGATCGGTATTGCTAGGATTTAGCCGTGCTAATCAACTATGTATGCCACCAGATTCTCCAGGAGTCCCACCTAGTGCGAACGCACATCAGCTCTTCAAAGGATTTAGTTTTGTTGCGACTACTACTGTAGAAGACCATAAAATATCACCACTCACCAACATACTGCCAATAGTACAGGTAACACTTTATTTTTGGGGAAACTTTTTTGACATGCCCAAGATTGACCAATATTGAGTGTTTACAGTCTGTTCTGTTTTGTTGGGGAGACTATTATAAAATGCAAATTATTAAAATGCTTCCATGGGATATTTTTAAATTTTAAAAAGCGAGTTGCTGTTTTTCTGGAGGCAGAATTCAAAAGAGAAAACATGAGCAAGCAGAAGAAACTTTTGCTGTTGGAAACAGTATTATGGCAAAGAATGTCTTGTTACTTTAGATGACAGCTTGTATGCATTTGTTTTTTAAAGCAACTTCATGGAAACAGCGCACAATTTACTGATGTATATGAACTGAAGGAAGATATTGGTGTTGGCTCCTACTCTGTTTGCAAGCGATGTATACACATAGCTACAAATATGGAGTTTGCTGTAAAGGTACTCTGAATAAACTTCACTGTGACAGTTCTGAAATTATTGTGTGGTAGACTTGTGGATTTAAATGCATGAATTTTCCAGTTACTGTAGCTGTTTATATACTCTGAGAAATGAAACCCAGCATTTTCTTCAGTTGTTGAAATTGTGTATTGGCTTCTTTTTGGCTTTACTTTTTGTGGGTAAAGTTATGGCCTTGAAGACCTGGCTTTGCAATTACATTCTTGAAGCCTGAAAATACTGTACGATGATGACAACACCTGAAATAAAATAAAATCCACAAGGGTGGAACTGGGCTGCAGAGAGGCGGTGATGCTTCAGACAGTCCATTGCATTTCCTTGTGCATTGGAGTAGAATAGACTGCATTAATGATATAATTTTAACTGCGAGCAAGGAGAGAGCAAGAAATGAATAAACATTGGGATGTGAAGCTGGAAGATGAATTAGTCATGATTAGCAAGAAGTAATGAACTCTAGAAATGTTTTTTTATTCTGTTGTTGAAGTGAGAATATAAATACAAAACAATTTCTTCGTTAAGAACAATTTCTTCATAATAAACTTTGTTTAGCCAAGTTGTTTTTCCTGTTGCTATATTTTGCAGATAATTGATAAAAGTAAGAGGGATCCATCGGAAGAAATTGAGATTCTCATGCGTTATGGACAACATCCAAATATTATTACTTTAAAGGATGTATGTATATCTTTTATTTGCTACCTCATATTACACAGTAGTCAATAAATACATATAGATGCAGAGAGTTTATTTGGGATTCATTAAGTTTCTTTTACATAGTAAAATATATTGGGACGTTACATCTTTACATAGAGTAAAGTGTTGAGTATTTCAAAATATGATATTGTCCTGATACTAACTTTTCTAAAGGTTGTTTAATGAGCTTGAAGTGAGAAATGACGTAAAGGTTAGAAATGCCATATTTCTTCTTAATTCAAATGAGTAGCTAATGTGCTGGTAATCTGAAAAAGCAGTTGCATGTTGTCCTGCGTGTGCTAAATGCCAGCAGCTAAAAATTGTCCATGGAGGGGAAGAGCAATAGGGAGTGGTAGGGCTACTCTCCTCTTAGGACAGAAGTTCCTAAACCAAAAAGTTTAGTTCGGAGTCATGAATTAACAATCGATTACCTTAAGGTCTCACAGACTGACACAAGCTGTCTTACACTTCAAGCTCTAAGGCTCTCGAATTGCAGAATTAAATTTGGCAGTCCCTGCTGTTTGTTCTTTATGTTCACATGTGAATAGGTGAACAATCTAATCTGTAATTTTCATTTATCAAGATGTATAATTATAGATGATCTTTTTTAATAGATCTGTGTTTGTTTATATATGTGTGTGCTTGTTAAACTTCTCATCAGGTGTATGATGACGGTAGATTCATATACCTTGTCACTGAACTGATGAAAGGAGGAGAGCTGCTTGATCGAATTCTCAGGCAGAAGTTCTTCTCGGAACGAGAGGCTAGCGCTGTATTATACACTATAACCAAGACTGTGGACTACCTGCACTGCCAAGGAGTGAGTGATTTCTTCTGACATTGCTTCTTTCACAGTTCTTAGAATTAACAAATGTCTTTTGTTATGTGCTTTGGTTGGCTTGTTTTTATGGCAGAAGGGAAGAAGATTTCTGAGTATTTTATGACAAGGTGAAATAATGTAAACAACTCATCCTGCTATTCTGGCGAGTGCTTTTGACTTTCCTCTTAGTTTATGAAACAGCAGATATTTGTTCTCTTAATGTTTGTTGGCAAATGGTTATGTTATAACGCGACTGGAACTGAGCCAGTAGGTGCTTTTTATGACATTACTTGAACCAAATTTTTTTTTTACTTGGAAGTTATATAATTGTGTAGAACTGTTAATAAGTATATTAATCTAGAGAATAGTTTTTTATAAATTGCAAATTACGTACAAACAAAATGTACATGCAACTTCTAAATGATTTTAAAAATTTCGTTGTTTAAAGGTAGTGCATCGGGACCTTAAACCTAGTAATATTTTGTATACGGATGATTCAAATAATGCTGATTCTATCAGGATTTGTGATTTTGGATTTGCAAAACAACTTCGAGGAGAAAATGGACTACTACTAACTCCGTGCTATACTGCAAACTTTGTGGCACCAGAGGTATTTTAAGCTGCTGTGTGTGTTCTCTGTGCTGTTTTTGATGCATCAAGTTCTTCAACATTTTAGCGATGCTTAAATAAAAAAAAAATTCTGCTAGTTTTCCTTAAGTATAATTATATATACTTTATAAACACTGGTGCATATGTTTATAACAAACCTGCTTTAAAAATAGCAGAATCCACCCTCAAAAATAAGATGTAAGCCTGTTGAGAATCTTAAGAGATGATGTTCTGGGAACAAGAAATACTGTTGATAGTTATTGTAACCTGTATGTTGAAAAATAAATAATCAAACCTCTGAAATTATCCTGGGGCTGACTTACCCTTCCTTAGGCTGTGTAGTGGTATCGGTGTGGGGTGGCTTTTTAATGTATGAAAAGCCTTTAACGCTCTTTGTTTTTATAGGTTCTCATGAGACAGGGATATGATGCTGCTTGTGACATATGGAGCTTGGGTGTTCTTCTTTACACAATGTTGGCAGGGTGAGAAATACTTCTTGGCTTTTTTTGTTTACCTAAAATTCCAGCATGCTGCATGAATCCGTGCTTTCATTAAAATTGTAAGGTATTACCTCACTGATTTGAATGCAGAATGACAAAGACACTGAAGTGGAACAGGAAGCTGTAAGTAAATCCATATGTAAACTAGACTTATCTTACAGGTAGGTTCAAGGCTTCTGTGTTCTGTAGTGTATGACTGGGGGATGCTAAAGACTTCCCAGTTTCCAGGAAAGAATTCAGTCTGAAAGTATGTAGTGGTTTTCTTCTTTTTCCTTCTGCCTCTTGTCCTCGCCACCCTAGTATCCTTGTAGTCACTTCCTTGTATCTCCTGCCACAGGCTTGACTCCTGGCCCTTTTGTAGAACACACTGGTTTGTAACCTCTTCAGTTTTCAAAATCTCTAAACTTTCATTAAGCACTATGGAGCACTTAGTGGCTGAGTGATAAAAGGTTTTCTGAATTCTGCTCTAACAGAAAAATAGCAGATAAACACTATCTATTGGAAACCATTTCTCTTGATAAATTTGTACTTCATGTAATATCACCGCCATCACTATGGTTCTATCCTCAAAACTCAGATTGCTGTGTGATTTAAGTGCAAGTATGCAGATAATGGACAGTATACTGCCTGCACGTTTGAGAAACATTGTATGAACAGAAGGTATGGCAGGCCAAAAGTATCGGGGGAGGAATGGTCCAGCATGAATTCCCATCTCTCCCATTTTGTTCCTCTTAAGTTCATCAACTGAAAGACTAGAACTAACCGGCTAGGGTAGTTCCTAAACATCTGTTGATGATGTTGGTTGATTTTTCTTCTATGCAGAGCTTTCAAAGTACCAAGGTAGAATGCATTAAGCTTAATTGTTACTGTTTGCAAGCTAATTTGAAATCTAAGGGGTATAATGATGTAACTACTTAATCAGGGTAAGATTTGGATTTTATAGTTAAAACTAACTTGGTACTAGCCGATGATCACAGGGGAGATGCCAGAACATTGTCATACTCCTGACGTTATTAAAAGGTGTATTTAAGTGATCGGGTTTCAGATTTGCCAGTTTAGTTCTTACGAGTTTGTTGCAGCAGGATTTGTAGAAAGTAAGCCAAATTTACAGGAAACCCTGTCAACTGTTATAAGCCTCCAAAAACAATGGTCTTAAGTGAGTTTGGGAGGCTTAAACCCAAAGTGAAAAACTACCATGAAAATTTTCTTGTAGCTTTTCCCTGAATGATAGATGTACGTACCTTGTGCTCATTCTCTGTCTAATTAAATGCACGTACCCTAAACACGCTGTTACTCCCGGTTTATTGGGCCATTCTGTTCAGGTACTGTTCCAGGTTTGGATTACTTTACATGCTCTGGTAATCTAGTGTAATTTGTGTTTATGAATCACTTCTATTTAACTTGAAAGTCTGCACTGATTAGAATGCATTATTAAGATATTAACTTAAGACATCGTTTTAGTTTGCATTTCTCATTTATTCTACTTGATTAACCACAATTATGGGGAAGAGAAAATAATACAGTTTCGAAGAGGAAATGCTAATATAAGTAGTATTTAATAGTATCTAGCGTGTTTCTGTCAGCAGTGGGATATCTAATCAGAATGATACACGAGATTTTACCAGTTTCTTGCAGCTTCTTAGTTATAACGAGGCATTTTGTTTGTTGGTTTGTTTGTTTTTTTTTCTTTCAACAGCTATACTCCATTTGCCAATGGTCCTAATGATACTCCAGAGGAGATCCTGGTACGGATAGGCAGTGGAAAATTCTCTTTAAGTGGAGGCAACTGGGACACTGTTTCAGATGCAGCAAAGGTGTAAATGTGTTTTGTAACTATATTTTTGTAGAATTCAAATGAACATCTACTGAACTTTATAAAATAGACTAGTCTAACACAGTAGTTTGCTATTATTACCTGCGAACTTTATCGCAGTGGAGGTCATCTAGGCCAGCCTGCTCAAAGCAGGGTGAGCTGTGAGATCTGACCAGGTACCTCAGGGCATTATTCAATCTGATTTTGGAAACCTCCAAGGGTGGAGACTGAACAGCTTGCCTGGGAGGCCTTTTCCACTGCTTGACTGCTGTAATGAGGAAAAAATTTCTCCTAATTTCAAGCCAGAACATCTCGTGTTTTACTTTGTCCTCTGTCTCCATTCCTTTAGTCAGCATGGCCAGTTACCTCCCTCAGTCTGCTTGCTGTGCTTTGGCACAGGATGCTGTCAACCTTCTTGGATGCCAGGTCACGCTGGTAGTTCAGGTTCAGTTTGTTGTCTACCAAAACCTCCTGATCCTTCTCAGCAAACCTGGTCACCAGTCAGTCCCCACCCTACCTTGGCAATGATTTTTTTTCCTTTCCGAGCACAGGACTTCACATTCATTCTTGCTGCATTTTGTAGGGCTCCAGTTAGCCCATTACCCCATCCTGTCTGGGTCCCTTTGGGTGCCTGCCCTGCCCTTGAACTCATTAGCTCTTTCACCACACCTCCAGTTTGCTGCCCCACTGCAAACTTGGCAAGAGTGCACTCTCTTCCTTCCCCCAGGCCACTGATAAAGAATTTAAATAAGATAGGTCCCAATATAGGCTTTTCTAATCATCAGTATTTTTTTTATTGGACCAAAATCAGGTGTTTGTGGGATTCCTTAAATCAAAGGATGACTTTTTACAATTACCTGTTAGTTCTAATAGCTAACTAGTCTTGCATTAATAGGTTAATTTTTTTGTAGTGCAATTTCTTAAATGTTGTTCAACGCTGAAGTCATCGGGTCTTTTGTCTTTGTTAGTATTTCTAGCAATTAAACTAATACTTTAACACCAAACACATCTGGATGTCTTCCCAGAGTCTTGATCATCTTGATTATGCAGCTCTCCCTTTTATTTTAAGACTGCATCTCTCATCAGCTGCTGTATGCGTTCCCTGGGTTTGGTGTTGGCCTGGTCTGTAGGTATCTTAGTCACCACTGTTACCTTTTATAAAGCTTGGCATTAATATTAAATCTTTTCCTAATCCTGTGGAACTGCACTATTTGTTCATTTCAGTAGGAGTGATTCAGAATACTTGTTGGCTGATGCAGTTTTAGCACAAGTAATTCACTTCTGTATATTTAAGAATGCTTAACATTTTGTACCTAAAACAAAGGGAACATTCTGTCAGCTTGTTCATATTTTGTTTTCTTTCAAGCTATTCCTGTCTCTGTTCTGGGCCCTGCCCACCCAGCTCTTCTTTTGATCAACGTTGTAATTAGTAGCTTATTGCTAATGCTTCTAAACAGGCAAAAACAAGTGGCCATTTCTGTTGGCTTTACTCTGTATATAGGTCCTTGAAGGAAAAATTCTTAGTATATCATTATATATGAATTCAATTGTAATATGTAGTCAGCAGACCCCAAACGTGTAGTACAAATGAGGAGAGATGTTTGCAAATAATAGCTTTCTTCCGTAAAATCTGACTGCTAAATTTTAATAGGATTTGTAGTCTTTTAAAGATTATATTAATAATCAACTGAAATATGAAACACACAAACAACAGTAAGTTTCCTTACAATAAAGGCTTGCTCTGTTAAACTGATTAAATAGTACAACACATTGTTTTCAGACTTCTGCGGTGTCAAGGCACAGAATGATCCAATTTATCTGCTGATTTTTGTGTGTGTGTGTGTCTGCATTGTGTTAATCCCTGCCACATAGGGTACTTTTTTCATTGCTGTCATAATTAGTGCTTTAAAGTCTGTATAAATTATTATAACTGAATAATACGTGTGTTTTGTTTTTATGTAGGACTTGTTATCACATATGCTTCACGTAGATCCACATCAGCGGTATACAGCAGAGCAAGTATTAAAACATTCGTGGATAGCCTGTAGGGACCAGCTGCCGCATTATCAACTAAACAGGCAAGATGCACCACATCTAGTAAAGGTAAAACAACCTGAACACTGAACGTTGCTTGAGCTAGTGGATGCACAACGGATTGGGTTGCTTTTAGAGCTACAGGCAGAACTCATTTTTTTTCTTCAGAAATTAGCTTGCTTTTGTTTTCCCTAGTATATACATATTTAAGTTACACAAGCAGACAAATTATTGGTAAACTAATTTTTTTAAAAAGAAATACACAGGAAAGGAAGTGTCAAATACCTGTGCTTAGAAACCTGAAGGAATTCAGCAATAAATGTTTTTTGTTTTTCCTTGAAACAAACTTTAGAGAATATGCATGACCTGCTATAAGTCCCAAGGATTTTTTTTCATAGTTAATTAAGAATTTAGTATTCAGTTGCTTTATTTTCTGATAAAAATGATCTTTACAGCCTTTTATATTTCTCATTGTTCTCTAGGGAGCCATGGCTGCTACATATTCTGCACTGAATCACAAGACATTTCAGCCAGTGTTAGAGCCTGTTGCAGCCTCAAGTTTAGCTCAGCGACGGAGCATGAAAAAGCTAACATCAACAGACTTATAGATCCACTGGGACACCTTAGCAAACAGAAGCAAGGGGAAAATCCAATAAGTGGCTCTATTTTGCCTGACCTGTGATCAAAAGGCATCTATGGTTTCCTGCTACACTACTTGAATTCTGTAAAAGTCCTTTTTTTAAAAAGAAAAAAAAATCCACAGGTTCATACTGTGTTGTTTTACAGGCCGTATCTGTTAAATTAATTTAAACGTCAGGTACACCATAATGAATTTCTCTACACTGTCCTTAAGAAATCTGTTGCAAATATTATTTCACATTCTGTATAGTTTTGCTGGGTTCATTTAAAAATGGTTTAGGGGACCGTTGCCAACGACCAAGTTGTACATAAAGTGTCAGTGTAAGTTTTCACACCCTCAGACCCCATTGTGAAGGACAAGTTCTTAATTTTGTAATTGGGCACTTAATTCATTCAACCTAATTCATTTAACTTGTTCCTTACTGTTATGAAAAGCTGACTAATGTATTGTGCCAGTGTTAAATGCATTAGTGTTAATTTGGAAGGTCTGTGTTTGCATGGTGCCAGTAACTGGTAAGTTTGTGTGAAAATACAAAGAAAAGGGATGCGTAAGATCCTGCACTTTACTCATAAACTTAATTTGATCTCTTGTGACCCAAAAGAAATGCTGCTGGTTAACAAATGGCCTCTTACAGGAAAATGAACATGTCTATTTGTTAGCACAAATGGTATTGTGTCCTGCACTGAGCTGGAGAAAGTAAGTATGTGTATAAACTGTTGAAATTGAGGATCTAAGTAACATTGGTACCACTCTAAGACAACATCATGAAATACAATATTTTTTGTTACTTATATTGTCCATCCACTTGTACAATGACTGTGTTACTGTTTCCTCATCAGTGATTTCCACTGAATATACCCAACATTAAGTTTGTTTGGCATAGAGACAAACTGACACTTTATTATAACGAACTTGGCACGTGGATTTTATTTTTTTATTTATTTGATTTTTATAGAACGTTGCTTCTATCTGAATCTCTCGCCGCATGTACAAATAATAGAGAACATAAATGCAAAATTCTATTTGCCTAACTGTAGGGGTAGCTTGGGAAAATAAATAAGCCTTGCAGCGTGCCCAGATAAGGGAATTCTGACCAAGAAATTTCACAGTTACGGACAAGTTACTGACAATATCCTATCGCCAGCACTCACTTGCCTTCTCTGTCTTGGTGTTAAGACTTCAGCTGTTTCTAACTGCTGTGATGGAGAAGAAATCAATTTCAGGGCCAGAATTATCTTGGGGTTTTCTGACTCAAAACCAGCGCTAACTGCTAGTAGACTGGGAACTAATGCATTTGGAGATGATGAGCTTAAAAGTATCTTCAAAAGTTGTAGACACTACTGTGCAATTGTACGGTCATAGTAGGATAATACGCATTTAGAATATTAATTACATTAGTGACTAACTGTTAGACTGTGAACAGTTAGAGAATCCAAATGACCTAACATCAAGTGCATTTCAGACTGATTTGCCATCCTTGAATTTCCTGTTTTGGATAGCTTTGGTAGTTACAAGACACCAGGGAGGGTAGAACTCGGTATTTTGAGACAGGAAAAAAGGGTTTCGGGAGAATTCTGGCCCAGCCACCGACGGTGGTGGTAGGACCTCAGATCTTAGAAGGCAGAGGGTGCTGGCTGTTTTTTGCTTATACCTGTGAAGTACTTGGTGGAGTTGGAAGTACTGCTAGATAAGCTGCTTTCTTTTGTTGTGGTGGGGGAAGATGGAAATTATCTGGCCAAATAGTTAGGTATGAATATATGTAGATTTGAGACTTAATGAGTATAGCAAACATAGGTGTGCTATTTGTATCATGCCGAACATACCCCGTACTAAATTTCTTGAGTGTTTGATAGGTGTTGGAAGCTTTAGGGGCCATTTGTGCCTAGTTTTGAGGTGCCTGTTTGAAATGCTTGAAAGCTTATCAAAGAACACAACTGCTTCCTGGAAAGCTTATTGTTCAGTACAAAATCTGCCCCTTATGCGGCTGGTTCATCCTTCTTGTCATTACTGAAGACCTTTGCCAGCAAGAATGTCTGTAAACCTCTTGTCTCCAGTCTATTGGTATAATTTTTTTATAAATTTACAAATTACTGCCAGAAGAATTTGAATTCACTCTAAGAAAAGAAAAAAAAAACCCCACAAAGTGATCAGAAATAAAGCCCCTTTAGCCAAGGTCAAGGTATAATGTGGTTTGAAAGGTAGTAGTAAAAGCTGCGTGTGGGGTAGAGAGTAATACAAGGCGTGGAACACAACTAAAATGTCAAACTTGAATTGTCTTCAGCTTTCCCGTAAGGTAGCAGCTGGTCTTTAATGGCTTTATTCATGAATCATTTAACAGTGTTTATATTGGTATTTTCTTTTCAGCTTGCTTAGAAGCACCACATTATAAGCACCTTAAAAGCATTTTGCACAAAAGCAGTTGTAAGCAACTGGAGGTACTTAAGTTCTTCTTGGTGTACAACACACAGGTGGTAAGAGGAAAAGTACACAAACAAGATGGATGTTCTGATTCTTAGCAGAGAATTTAAAACATCTTCTATAAAGTTAACCCTGCTGGTTTTGTATCATTACCAGCCAAGTGGTACTCTTGGGGTAAAAGCAAGGTTTCAGTGACTGCAATGTTACAAAGTTGTCTTATCACAAGGAAAACATGGACAAATGCCTTTGTTCTATCTGACAGGCCAGTGTGCCCTGGTATGCCAATATTAATCCTTAATTTGGGGGGGGAAGTTCACTTGCTATGAATATTTCAGCATATCAGACTTTAAAACTGTTTGGATATGCAGGGATACAAAAGAGTTCACTTGCAGTTTACTCTTACTAATATAGTATTTAATGATCACTTTTTTGTGATACTTCTTTTGGAATTTCTTGCATACTTCTCATCCCTTTTCGAGCTTAGGTTTTGTTCAATTAAGCAATTATATAAAAGTAGCATGGTCTGCTCGTGAGTAATCAGTAAAACGTTTGAAATGGAAGAACAATTTGAGCTTGGTCTTGGCTGGAGTGAAAAGTTAGTATAAATTGTTTCATACCGTCTCTGCACGGTTCAAGATTATGAACTGGTTACAATCTTGGTATCTTACTGATTTACTTTTTTTAAAAACTGAAACTTCTACAAAAGCTTATGATTACAAAGAAACAGGCATACGCACTATGTATTTAGAGGAATTTCCAGATAACTAATTAATATCTTAAATGATAGAATATCTTGGATATGGCTTCTGTTACTGCCAGCGAAAGAGCTGCTACTCTGCCGCTTGGTGATGGCAATTGTAAGTTTAGTTCTCAAGTGCAGATGGAGCCTGATCCGTTGGCACTGAAGAGAGGAGATTCCCACAGACATCAGCTGTGGCTGGAGCAGGCACATGACGTGTTTTGCCGTTCTTTCACCCCTTGGATATCGCAATTTCTACCGTCATTCATCTCTTTGATAGGAAGTGAGCAACTCTATTGTATTCCTGTCGTGTATCCAAAAATCTATGCGGTCGCATCAAGGTCGCCCAGTGGCGCGTAACGAAGAGCGCCCGTATCTGAGAGCGTTACCATGGGTGGATTCATTTAACCCACGATTTTGTGGCTTGTGTAGTCTCGATGCTGCTGTTGGCATGTTGTGCGTGTTTTCCCATTATGCATAAAACTATAAATTGTCTTTGACGGCACGAAGAGCCTAAGGTGTAGGTGGTCTAAGCGTACTGACTGTTTGAGGCCACCGATCTTGTAGTATGGTTTAAATATTCTCCTTGCATCCAGAGAAGGGATCCAAAACCTCCCCCCAAGTCAGTCATATTGAACTTGAATTCTGTCTTCCATGACTTAATTTTCCAAAGCTCATCTTCAGATGTTCGATAGTTAAAATTACCTCTAGCAAACTTCAACGAGTGGAAGTTGCTTGCAGTGTACTTACAAACTGGTCGTTTGCAATGACAGATTGCTGCATCCAGGACTCGGCTCTCTGCCCTCAAATGTTACAATTAAAGAGTTGAGATAGCTGGTAGGAATTAAATGAATTACACAATACTACAGTAATTATCCTGATTTGTATCAATGAAATTAGGATAAAATGTCAATGCAAACATAGGGTTTTACGTACTTTTGTAGCACTTAAGTGTTTCAGTCCTATCCAGAATTAAAAGTTTGCAAATACTTGTGGGAGGGAAGGGAGGAGCAGGTTTTCCTTTCTCAAAGTTTTCAGAAAGCTTCTGAAGCCACAATAATAGAGTCCTTATGTAATCCTATGAGAGCTCTACATGATTAAAAAATAAAAAAAACTCTCCTTGAAAGTTCATTCAGAAACTTTCTTGGGTACGTATTGATACCTGTTGGTACCACGCCTGCGCTGTCAGTCCTACCGTACCATCCTCCTGCATTAACACCCCTTTAGTTAAGCACACTCTGAATACTCTTTGTCCCTACTTCAGTGCATTTTTTTTTTTAAATGTTTACTCCCCCCCTAAAATTATGATGTTGTTAAGCTTACATTTTTCTTTGGGAATAGAAGAATGAATACAAATTAAAAAACCAAAACAAACACACCCTTAGTGTATAGCTAAAGCTCACTTGAGTATTATAATAACTTAGGTAATTAGAAGGCCCCCCCAAAAAATAATCAGTGACTGGTTTTCTTGAGACTTTTTCCTATGTAATGAAAGCAAACTTTCTTTGAAAGCTTTAAAAGATATTTATTTGATTATGTCTCTTAATGATTAAGATTTGGGCAATAGCTTATTACCAGTAGTGAGTTTGAATAACATTGAGTCCTGTTTTGGGGTGGTTTTTTTAATGTGAGAACTATAAAGATGCTCGAGGTGGATCGCCTTTGCAGGACAAAGTGTTCCTATTTTGTGTGGTTTGCATTAGGCTTATGAGCAGCGTTTGCTAAGTAATTGCGTTGTCGTAACATCCCAAGCACTTTGGCATCTTGCACTGATACTCTAATTAGAGCTAAAACTCTTCTGGCACGTGACTGGCTATAAATCTCAATATACGAAAGGGCATTAATTGAAAACGGTGTGCAATGAATTACATGCTCTGAGGTACTTCAAAGATGAAACTATACAAAAGGTCCCCGTTATCGGATATTGTAACTGTCATTTCTTTCTCTAAGCATATTGTGG